TTAAAGGAACTGTCTAATTGTTAAAGTCAAAACATTAGAGACATTTTGTCAAAAGCCTTAAATTTGTATACAGAGCATGCATTGTTTGTCAGTTTTGTTATCTACACAAATAATGGCATTATCAGATATGACTTCTGCTCAAACTGAAAGTGGACATGTAAATTAATGTCAGTTTCATTTTACGAGAATGAAAGTTTAAACATTCCAAGAACGTTGTCGCCGGCGTACATTTTGTAAAACTGTTCCGATGAATTAATGACAACGTCGCCTTCGTTTTACCATTCGCATTAAACACAAAGAACTGCACTCTACTGTTCGCTATCTTCCTTAGGTACATATAGCATGGTTAAGTGTGGCGCACCCCTACCACCTTTCCAAATTGGGTGAAATCACTGGCATAGTTTCTAATAATATTCAATGTATAAGCTTTTTTTTATAATTCAGTCTGCATTTTCTAACTTTCATATTTACCTCTCTCAATATTTTATTTCCAGATTGTATGTGTTTTCCTATTGCAATTCTCCACTTTTAGATCTTCAGATATATTCAATGTGTATTTTTACTATTGCACACGCCAACATTCTATATTGTATTGTATGATTCCAAGTCTAATTTTATGTTTGATTTCTCTTTGATTTCTGTTCATTATTTATTATGATAAATTTATATGTTCAAAATAAAGGTTTATTAAAAAAAACACGACGTATTGGTTGCAGTGAAAAGTAACACATCAGAATATATATTTGCTAGCCAAAGCTGGACGATCAACTTGTGGAATGAAATGATTGAAGTTGATCAAAATAGATCGACGACCCTTAGCAAGCAAAGATGTGTGCATAATAATAGTCTTGTCTGTTCAGAGTCTATCTGTACAGACACGTGGAATTATTTAAGACTTGAAAATAATAATTTCCAAATATAGATTACTATAGGTAACACATTCCACCGGGTACTTCGTGACTACGCTAAATTTCGATTTCTGGATAGTACTCTTCATCGGTACGTTTGGACTATGCTCTCGATCGATTTTTGGATGGTATTCTTCAACAGTTACGTACGTTGGTACTACGCTATCGACCGATCTTTGGATTGTATTCTTCAACGGTTACGTACGTTGGTACTACGCTATCGACCGATATTTGGATGGTATTCTTCAACGGTACGTTTGGACTACGCTATCGACCGATCTTTGGATGGTGTTCTTCATCGATACGTTAGGACTACTCTATAGATCGATCTTTAGATGGTATTCTTCAGCGGCTACGTTGGGACTAAACTAAATATCGATTTGAGTGTAGTATTCTCCATCAGGTACGCTGGGGCTACGCTAAACATCGATATATGTGTAATGTTCCCACCAGGTACACTGGGTCTACCCTAAATATCAATTTCTGGATAATAGTTTCCATAAGGAATACATCAATTTCTAGGCAATTCTCTCCACTCAGTACGCAAAACTACAGTAAATAACGGATTTGAGGTAATATCTTTCACTAGGTACGTTGAGATTATGTTATATTTCGATTTCCAAGTACGATGGGACTTCATATCTTCCTAAATAACATACTTTTTCGTCATGCACGTAAGTACGTACGTACGTACGTAATGTATGTATGTATGTATGTATGTATGTATGTATGTATGTATGTATGTATGTATGTATGTATGTATGTATGTATGTATGTATGTATGTATGTATGTATGTATGTATGTATGTATGTATGTATGTATGTATGTATGTATGTATGTATGTATGTGTGTGTGTGTGTTTGTGTGGATTAATTTATTACAACGTCCGACCCTTATGCAATAGGTCATGAGTTCGAACCCCGACTGACTCGTACCAAGGACTTCTAAAAATGGTACTAACAGCTGCCTCGCAAGGCTCTCAGCATTAGGAGGTTAGTGTTAGGACTGGTCGGCTTGGTTTCAGCATAATGTGACTCCATGGGACCTGATGCTACATGTCTGCGGCATGATGCTCTATTACCAGACATCACAATAAACTGTCAGACTGCAGACTTAGTACGCGATATGACTGAAAACTTGTGAAAGCTACATTAAAAAATTTAAATCATACACACGGGCACACACACGCACATACACACGCGAGCACACACACACACACTGCACAATTGGGAATACTAAGCGTCAAACAAAATCTGAACCGTAAAAATTATCGAAAAAAAAAAGAATAACCCCAAGATTAGCAATGAGATTGTTGTGGTAAAATCCCTGCAATATATAAATGCTCAAACTTACAAAACACAGATTTGACAGGAAAAAATAATAATATTATTGCACTCGCTTTCCATCTCTAAAGTTTCGAATCTTGTAGGATGTGTATGGATTCAGGGACTGTATGACTTCGATTTTCTTAAATGCAAAAACAAAAGTCAACATCTACCCACCTAACCTTTGCGGTGGTTCGTGGATGGAGAATAGGCTCATTTGTGCCCATCCCGCATATTAAGTCGACCACATGCCTGACATGAAGGAAAATATTTGGGTTTGAATCCTATTAATGGATCCACCCGGTTCCATGTTGCATCCTTAGGCAAGGCACTTTACGCCTATTGCCTCTACACTTTATTATCTACTTGAGCTGCTGTACGTGAAGCACCAGAATCAAACCAAACCAAAAGAGATTTTTTAATTATTCGCTTCGTATTTGTATCGTTTCTTCTCGTGGTACAAGGATTTACGAGAAGAAGAAGAAAAAAAAACGTGCATCGTGCAAATTCCGAAACTGATATACATTTTATTGCAGATATGAAGAAAAATTGGGATTTTATGAATTAAACCAAAATTATTCCTAAATTTTGAAAACTAACAAGGAATTTATCTGGACTAAAAAAAATAGTAACAAATATGGTAAGACTCAAGGGATTGTCAAAAATTTCGAAAGCAAAACGGAATTCAGGAAAGTCTATGCTAAAATTCCGAAACTCAAATTCAGAGCAGACTAAAAAAAATCCAGAATATTAATAATCAAAAGTATGACCTAACATGAAGTATTATTGACGTTCATAAGCAAAATGGAATTTAGCAGAGACTAAAGAAAACCATGAACATCATAAAAAGAATAAAAAAAAGTACAAAACTGACATGAAATTAAGGAGACGCCATAAAGAAGACAACACCGAAACATTGGGAAGAGATTTTAATTATGAAAAGTAAAGTTTTAATAAAATTTTATAATTTTAAAACAATTATACATATTGGAATTTTGAAGGAAACAAATTAAGGAAAATATAATATTTTATAGTTTATAATTAAAAAAACCCCTAGGAAATTAATACATTTCAAGGAAGGCAAAGTGTAGGAAAGTAAAATAAAATGCATTTAAATTGCATTTAAAGAGGACACAAAATTTTGAGAGAAAATTTAACTGTCTAGAAAATTGTTAATAAGAAAAAAATTGCTAAAAGAACCTATATAAGGGAGAATATACATTAAAAATAAAAATTTAAAAACATTTTCAGAAAGACAATTTTATTTTAAAAGAGAAAAAACTAATACACAAATTAACAAATTACAGATTTGCTAATAACCAAATTGCAAAAAGAAAACGTAATGAATTCATAAAATAACAACATGAAAAAGAAATGTCAAAACAAAAAATTAAGCTTGAAACTAAAGCACAAATTTTAAATTAAAATTGAAAACTTAAAATTGACAAGATTACAAAGTTTGCAAATATAAATTTTCAGCGATTATTGACAAAAATATCATATAGTCTTACTTTCTAAAATACGTCAATGCTGATTAATTCATTCTTTTATATCGTCGTACTTCTCTACTGACCAAAATTCACCCTCACTTAACAACCATAATATCAATGGATTAATTAATTCTTTTTTTAAAATTATGTAATAATGCATTTAAAGGGGATGTAAAGGTGGAGAGTCATGACGACTTAAACCTGTTACGATACACAGACATATGTTCTTATCGACAAACACCCAGACACACAAATAAATGAATGAATGAAAGAAAGTCAGTTTATGTTAAATAAAAGACATAAGTGCATTCCAACACCCACCTGGACTATCTAATATCCCATTTTAAACAAAACAGACGCGAACGGGGATTAATATAAGTGGTCACTAACACACGTAAGTAAAATCATCCAGCACTTGCCCTTACAAGCAAACTGGTTGACAAAAGTTCAGGGAAAGGTAATGGTCAACAACACACATATTTACCATCCAGTGCTCATATATACAAATGACACCGACGAGGAAAAGTGGAGTTAGGTGATAGTTGCTAATGCTTATAATTACAAACCTATACCCATCCTGTCAAACATAAAAAGGAAGGAAAGTAGATATGTGAGAGTCACTCGCATCTACTTATGGAAAAGCAAACACGTCCTTATGGACCAAAATATTAAAATTTCAAATTTACAGACAATTATCAGCCAGGTTAAATTTGAACTTTTATCATACATAACCTTATGTCAGCTTGTTTCCAGATTTTCTGGATGTTTTGGCATACACGGAATAAAAAGATGTGATTCGCTGCTCTGCAAGGTTAGCTCCTCATGACCTGGGGTGCGTTTTGGTGCTGTGACCAGAAAATTAGCTTGCTTTAATAGTTGTTTTTTTTAAACCTGATATTTGTATTACCTTTAAAGAAAACAATGTATCCTAACTTTATCCATTGATATTATTGTTAATTAAGTTAATTTATTACTAATATGTGATGAAGTCTCCAAGACGTAAGGGTAGTAATACTTGCCCTACATACCGAAAGCATTGGTTCGAATCCCAGCCAAACAATTGTAATTTGTTTGAAACTGATTTTATAATGTCATTTTTAATGGAAAATCTATATTTATTTACACAGAATCAAGATTTATAAAATTATTAAAATGGGCACTACTTCATGTCCATTTCTAGGAAGTTACATCATGAATAGTCGAGTGGACATTGCTTCATGTTTATTTCTAGGAGGTTACATTAGGAACAGTCGAGTGTTCACTACTTCGTGATACCGCTCCTGTGGTCTAAGTGGTTAAAGCGTCTGCCTCTGATGCAGAGGGTCGCCGGTTCGAACCCAAACGGAGTCATACCAAAACCTTTTTTTAAAAAAATACTGTAAGCAGCTGCACACTTGTCGCTCAGCATTAAGAGCTTAGTGTTAGGAGTGGTTGACCTGGAATTTGAATAATGTGACTGCGTAGGACATGATGCTATGTCTGGCTCAAGGATGCCCCAGAGTTAGATATCACTACAAGCTGCCACACTGCATACACCTTAGTGATATGACTGAAAAATTGTTAAAGCTACTTTAAAAATCCAAATCACAGACCCACAGCCATAGCCACACACACACACATACCCACACACACACACACTGCTTCGTGATCATTTCAAAGAGGTTACGTCAGAAACAGCCGATTGAACACTGCTTTGTGTTCATTGCAAGGAAATTACATCAGAAACAGCTGATTGGACACGGCTTTGTGTTTATTTCAAGGAGGTTGCATCAGAAACGGCCGATTGGGCACTGCTTTGTATTCATTTCAAGGAGGCTACATCAGAAACAGTCGTTTAGAAATTGTCATGTGTTCATTTCAAGGAGGTTATATCAAAAACAGTCGATTGGACGCTGCTCTATGTTCATTTCAAGGAGGCTACATCAGAAACAGCCGATTGGGCACTGCTTTGTATTCATTTTAAATACATGAGCTTAAAAGCATGTTACCTGAAGAAAAAAAACTTAGAGACAAACCATTGTTCTTTAAAACAACAACAACAAACGGATAAAAAAGTAACACGTAAATATACGAAATACAGTGTCACATAAATATTCGCTGCACGTCAACACGTCAAAATGATCATTATATGCTTTATTCTGCCTCGCGGTGAGGGAAATACAAAACTCGTTTACAACATGCGTATAAATACTCAATGCACTGATTTTAAGACGGCACCTGCAGCATATCAGTGTCAATCATATCTTTCCGAATGCATTTGGAGCTAGCATGCATACATGCATCAACATATACATGCGTCTACTTTCGGGGCAAATGAAGCTTACGTTTCATTTTAAACGAGTAAACGTTTGAATCTTTTCATCACAAGCTGTTTCTTATTATCAGCTCACTTTATAATCACGTATTTAACAGAAAAGTTATAATTTTATCGGACCTATTTAAGGTTAACTTTCACTTTCCATGTCATAATTCAATAAACATACGTACTAAGAGGTGTCGATGCATATAAGACCTGGAGAGATATACACATTTTTTTCCTAGAGGTTTGCCTTCGTGATGCTTATGGAGGTATATTGTGTTTTCTACATAATCCATGAGAGGGGGGTCGTTTTAATTGCACACAGACGCCGATGAAATTTGAGCCATATAAAACAATCAAGACTTTTATCATACATATTTATCTTCCGGCACCTGCAATTATGGGTTCAATCCATGATGAACGTGTTTTAAGGTTTTCCTCAGATGCTGGAGGTCGCCGGTTCGAACCCCGGCTGAGTCATACCAAAAGACTCTAAAAATGCTACTAACAGTTTCTTCGCTTGGCGCTCAGCATTAAGAGGTTAGTGTTAGGACTGGTTTGCCTGGTGTCAGGATAATGTGACTGGGTGGGACATCATGTCATATACGAATATATTCTATCGCTGTTTCAAAGACCAGAATAGTAATATCTTGTAGCACCGTCTTTCCTTCTTTTTCTTTTTTCTTTTTTTTTTTGTTTGTTATTCTTCTTTTTTACATTTGCCGATGGAATCTTTTTAACTTGTTGCACGACATGTAATGTAGTAGCTATACAATAATCTATTTTTTTTTTTTTTTGGTCCGACATCAAGCAGTCGAGTCTGCGAGCTATAAATAGAAGATAGAAGTGCTAGGGGTCTTTCTTCACACTTACCGTAATCGGACGATCGATGCAGTATGTCAATTTGACTTTAGCAGTATGTCAATTTGACTTTAGCAACAAGTACCACAAAATTCCATGTTCTATTATTTGTTCAGCCCTGCTTGGGCATACCTGTAAACCTGTGATGTCATGTCAATTAAATGTTAACTTGTATTTATCACACAACAATAATATTCAGAATTATAGTGCGTTAATTCAAGAAGAAGAAGATGTGATTATGTGATTATGATTTTTAACGTAACTTAATTTTTCAGTCATATCGATACGATGCCTGCAGTATGGCAGTTTATAGTGATGTCTAACACAGGGGCATCATGTCGCATACATGTAACATCATGTCCCACCCAGCGACATTATTCTAATACCAGGCCGACGAGTCCTAATAATAACCTCTTAATGCAGAGCGTCAAGCGAGGCAGCTGTTAGTACCATTTTTGTAAGTCTTTGGTATGACTCGATTGGGGATCAAACCCACGACCTCCCGCATCCTAGTGGACGCTCTAACCACTAGGCCACCGGAGCGGGAAGAAGAAGAAGAAGAAGAAGAAGAAGAAGAAGAAGAAGAAGACATATTTTGAAACAATTTATGTCACGTTAATCTAGCCTTTCCATGGTGATTTAGTATCAGTTACTTTTCAGCCCAAGGCAAGTTTTATTGCTATACATGCTCAGTCGTTTTTGGACATGACTTCCCTATATCGACAGTATATTGTACTCTTCATAGTTATATGCGAGAAACAAATTTGTTAAGCCAGCGAATCAAATTTTCCCTCACAATATCTTTCTTGATGTCACATTACATCATCATCACATTACATCATCATCACATTACATCATCATCACATTACATCATCATAACATTACATCATCATCATATTACATCATCATCACACTACATCATCATCACATTACATCATCATATTACATTATCATCATATTACATCATCATATTACATTATCATCACATTACATCATCATCACATTACATCATCATCACATTACATCATCATTATATTACATCATCATCACATTACATCATCATCACATTATATCATTACATTACATCATAATCACATTACATCATTATCACATTACATCATTATCACATTACATCATCATCATATTACGTCATCATCACATTACATCATCATCACATTATATCATTACATTACATCATCATCATATTACATCATCATCACATTACATCATCATCACATTATATCATTACATTACATCATAATCACATTACATCATTATCACATTACATCATTATCACATTACATCATCATCATATTACGTCATCATCACATTACATCATCATCACATTATATCATTACATTACATCATCATCATATTACATCATCATCACACTACATCATCATCATCACATTACATCATCATATTACATTATCATCATATTACATCATCATATTACATTATCATCACATTACATCATCATCACATTACATCATCATCACATTACATCATCATTATATTACATCATCATCACATTACATTATCATCACATTATATCATTACATTACATCATAATCACATTACATCATCAGATTACATCATCATCACATTACATCATCATCATATTACGTCATCATCACATTACATCATCATCACATTACAGCATCACATTATATCATCATCACATTATATCATCATCACATTACATCATCATCATTTGTAACAAATGTATTTATTATTCAACATAATTTGCAAAGAAAGTTCCATGAAAAATAATTCTAACCTTTTGACCTTTGTCTGCTTCTACGACATGCCTCCGTGTCGGTAATATTGACCACTGTGACACCTATTCCAGTTTTTGTATAATACTGTGGCACGAATAACGCAGGAGTAGACAGGGACTGATAAAAGCCTTGAATAAGGAGAACGAAGATGTTAATGATGATGACTTTAATGTATGTAATGTAGTGGTAACCTTAAGGCATGAAAATAAAATTTGCTTTCTCTTCACTTTTTTAAATTTATTTACCCTGATAAACATTGGTAACAAAACAGAAAACCATAAAAGCATCCACCACCATTATTATCATTAGCACCACATTGTCATTATCATTATCATCATCATCATCGCCAGTGACAATGGTCTCAATGTATCTTTCTGCAAATTTGAAGTTAATTTCAGCACTTGATATTTTAGACCGACATATTGATAACAGGGCCCTAGGAGAATATTACCAAGGTAATTATCTGAGACTTGCACCATCGATTGTGGTATATGAGAACATATAACACTCTACACCATTTGACAACCTCGGTGACATAAGGTCTATCTCGTGACAATCTAATCTGATTTTTCTTTAACTTGTATTACTGGGTCGAGCAACCTGCGTGTGTTAATTTTAAGTCGACCGGAAATGTTTAAGCCGTGCAAATAGGAAGTGATTCTGTCGAAGCAATAAATGTCTTATTTAATTACGGTGGATCATTTGAAGATCTGGAAAGTTGCGATTTTGCTAGATTGGATATTTTAGTGTAAATACCATAAAACTACATAGCGAATAAAGTGTTATATCGATCTATATATCCATTCCATGGATTTTTCGATACACAGATAAACTTGTATATCCATCTTTCTATCCCTAACATGTATCCCTTAATACACAAATAAACGTGTATATCGATCTGACACAGAGAAAATGTGATTTAGTCTTACTGAATTAAGCAAATGACATACCTATGCCAGGTAATATCTCACAAATAAAAAAAAAAACTAGATCTACACAAATCACAAATTGCTAGATCAGTTAGATTTCAGATTACTATTAGACTTCATGGCATTATTTTCTAATTGAAACAATTACGCCAGCTAGATTCTAGATTCGACCAATTTATGAAAAAAATGGTCAACACATAATTGACCACACTGGTTTGCACAGTTCACCTATACAGATTTGGACAAAATATGCATTTGTCTTAGATGTCATCAAATCAACATAATACACATGTATAGCTTTAAAAAAAAATTTACACCAATAAAATGCAGAAGGGAATGCAAAATATAGAACGTCTAAGGGACGCGACGTCTCGCCACCCAGTGTATGATCGTTTCAGAATACCTATTCGCATGCAATGTGGCACTGAGAGACACAAAGCAAGAACTGCTGATACCAGATTAGTGAAAGATTTGCACTGA